GATTGGTTTTGTCATTCTTTTACCATTGATGCAACTTTTTATGTACTTCTTCTTTTTCAGAGTTTGTACAAATGATGACAGCAAAGTGAAGACTGTACAGAATGTGTTAAATTTCTTGTACAAAATTGTTTATTTGCCTTTTCTTTGTTTGTAACTTATCTGTAAAAGGTTCCCCCCTGCTGTCAAAAAATATGCATGTATAGTAATTAGGACTTCATTCCTCCATGTTTTCTTCCCTTATCTTACTGTCATTGTCCTGAAACCTTATTTTAGAAAATTGATCAAGTAACATGTTGCATGTGGCTTACTCTGGATATATCTAAGCCCTTCTGCACATCTAAACTTAGATGGAGTTGGTCAAATGAGGGAACATCTGGGTTATGCCTTTTTTTTAAGTAGTTTTCTTTAGGAACTGTCAGCATGTTGTTGTTGAAGTGTGGAGTTGTAACTCTGCGTGGACTATGGACAGTCAACAATATGTACTTAAAAGTTGCACTATTGCAAAACGGGTGTATTATCCAGGTACTCGTACACTATTTTTTTGTACTGCTGGTCCTGTACCAGAAACATTTTCTTTTATTGTTACTTGCTTTTTAAACTTTGTTTAGCCACTTAAAGAAAATCTGCTTATGGCACAATTTGCCTCAAATCCATTCCAAGTTGTATATTTGTTTTCCAATAAAAAAATTACAATTTACCCAACTGTTGCTCTGAATCAGCGTCCTTTAATTACCTTGAGGTGGAACAATTCTGAGAATCAAATACTGGGGTGGTTTTTACTTGGTGTAATTTAGATATGTTTTTGTTGTTGTTTTACCACCTAGATTTTGTTTCGTTTTTAAATTGTGATACTTCCTTTGAAAGATTAAGACCTTTTGTAAGTGTACCTAGCATGGGAGCTGACATAATGTAGATGTTTATTGTTTCCAATCTTTTTACATATTTTTCAACTTTGGCATATACATTTGTCCATACTAACTTTAGCCAGGCAATGATTTTAGGAAAATTTTCTGTTATAAGCAATCCAAGGTGGGGGGTTGTTATTATGTTTTTACTTCTATTTGCTAATGGTGCCTTTTCTTTTTCATAAAGCAAAGGAGAATTTTCAGTTGTCCTGCCTATCCGGGACATGTTTTACAAAGAAAGGTATCTTTAGGAGTTGGACTGGCAGTAACTAAACCTTGCTTTAGGTTTTGCTTACTTCTAAACCATTGCTTTCTCTGTAATTTTAAGCTACTCAAAAAGTGGTTTTCAGGGTTTTTGGTTTTTTAGCTGCCTTTTAAATAATAATATTTAATGAAAGATTCCAGAGCAAACCAGAGCCAAGATTAAAACATTAAAGTGTATTAAAACATTAAGTATACTAAAAGTATATTTATATAAAGTATATTCATATAAAGTATATTAAAACAGTATAATAGAATGATTATTGTAGCCACAGGTATATCTTCCCAGGGGGGGAAGTCCCTTTGGCAGGTTACTGCCCATCTTGGACTATTTTAATACCATTTTTATTCTACCAGAAAATATAAAACTGAATGGTTATTGAAGGACAAGAGAGAGAAGTAGGTTTTAAAGGGAAATTGATATAATCTTAATGGGGAATTAAATTTTTACATATTAGGCAGACAATCAGTTAAATAGGAAGACCTTCATTACATGGAATTGTTGAGTCAAAAGGAAGGCCATTAAGATAACATGGGCTTTGGAGTTTTATTTCAACAGTTCTCAGATCACTGCTCTGGGTAAACTTAGGTCAGTATTATCTAAGCTTCAGTTATCATACTTGTAAAATGGGTATAACTTACCCAACTGGTTTTTAACTTGTCTTTTGTAGTAGTGAAGGTAAAACACTTAGCATAGTCCTTGACATTTGCAATAAGAAGAGTTCAGTTGATGTTACTATGCTGTTAAGCCATATAAGACTCTAATACGAGTCAAAGTTATCTTTCTCACTTCGGTAGTTCTGGTTCCTACATTTTCAAGTATTTAACAAGGTAGAAGGGGGCACGCTATTTTGGGGGTACTTTTGTATATCACATTAATTGCTGATTTTTATATTCACAAAAGTCACAAAGTTGGCATTATTTAGATTTTATAGGAAATGGAAGGATACTGCAGTTTTGTTTAGATTTATTTTTGAGAGTGTGGCAGCTTGGGGAGGAGGGGCAGAGGGAGATGGGAGAGGGAAACTCAAGTAGAGTCCTTGCTGAGCATGGAGCCAGACTTGGCTGACTTGGCTTGACCCTGAGATCACAACCTGAGCTGAAACCAAGAGTCAGACGTTTACCCAGCTGCACCACCCAGGCTCCCCTGAAGTATAGAGCAGTTATTTATATAACTTGTCATATTGGGCACGTACTCAGCTAGATTCATATCTCAATTCTATTTCCTACAACAATGTTAAGCTGGGTATCTTCACATCTTAACCATATTGCCTATTGTGTTTTAGCCAGATCATGGTAATTGGTAATTCTTCCCCCTGTACTGTCTGTAGCATGTTTGTTCTCAGATTATTCCAACAAAAATCACTACTGCAGTTAAAAATAATCCATTCTTTAGGGTGTATTTTACAGAATTTTTATTAAAGATCGGATGCATAGAGAGGCACCCTTGACTTCTACTTAGTGTAGTCCCAGAGAGAAATGCCTCCCCACCCTTTTAAAACTGCTGTTAAGATAACCTGAAAACAAATCTTAAATTTTTTCAGTGATACTGTACAAGACTTTTTTTTTTTAAAGATTTTATTTGACAGATTGATCACAAGTAGGCAGAGAGGCAGGCAGAGAGAGAGGAGGAATCAGGCTCCACGCTGAGCAGGGAGCCCAATGCAGGGCTCCATCCCAGAACCCTGGGATCATGACCTGAGCCGAAGGCAGAGGATTTAACCCACTGAGCCACCCAGGCGCCCCTGCAAGCCTTTCTTAAGAGGACATTTTGTTTATCCTGCATGCTTAGTCTGTCTTATTGGTGAAGTCCTTGAAGTCATTGACCTATGCTGTTTCTATTTTTGAGATACTTAAAACTATTTTCTCATCTAGATGTTCTTTCTATTTCACACCTTGTATGGGTTTCTAGACTTCTCTGTACCTTTCATCATATTCCTTTAGTCTCTAGAGTACCAGTCCCTAGTCGGCTGGGCCAGTTTTACAGGCTCAGCCAAAATAAGAAAGTGAAATGAGGAACAGTGACTTGATTGAATCTCATACATTTGTGGAAACTCTGGTTATTAGCCTCTTGGCCTTACAATTTCAGTTGTGATTTCAAACTTGGTGTCTGGTTGTTTTTTTCCTCTTGTATTCTCGTATGTTGAATTTAGAATCCCACTAAAAGAAATGAAATGGGAGTAGCCTTTCCCTATTGGAGAGTACTCCCTTTTGAGTAGTATCTCACTACTCAAAAAAAAAAAAAAAAAAATTCACCTACAGAATCTTGGGCCCTCCCTCAGAATCTGAATCTGTATTTTTGTAAGATCCCCAAATGTTTTGTATGCACATTAATTTTTGAAAACCATTGTGCTAGTCCATCCTCTAAACTGGTCATTTATTCAAATATTTTAATCCCTCCTGTGTCCAGAAAACTCAGAATTAAGACGAAAACCTGGTTTGGGAAGTGTTTAAAAATTAGGGGAGAAACAATTGGTCAAAATGAAACCTCCCATAAAAATTGGCATTAGGGTCCTTTGGGCTACAAGGGATTAATTAGGCCAGGGAGGATTTCTCAGAGGAGTTGACTCCAGTTTGCTAGGCTGTCGAAGAAGGAAACAGCATTTTAGCATAAGGGCACACAAAAACATGAAGATGGCATGTTTGGGGTTTCCAAGTATACATCAGAGTGTGAGGTTTTAATGATGGAAAGGAGATGAAATGGATTGTGAATTTTGCTTTTTGTTCCAAAGGCAATGATTGTACTTACTAAATACCTTGTGCCAGACATGGTTCCAAACATGTCACTCAGGTTGGTCTTCATAATCACCCTGTGTGGGTAGATACTGGTTTATTATCACATTTATAGACAGACAACAAATCACTGCAGGGAGTGGTCAAACCCTGGTAGTGGAGGAGAGGGATTCAGGACTGAGGGAGTGGAGGAATCATTGCAGCAGTGACAAATGGGGTCAAGTTTGATAGTTGAAAAATCCCCGTTCAATTTGGTGATCGGGTCACTGGCTAGTTTACCAAGTGCAGTTTGAATAGAAAGTGTGTACACGTGTGAGATTAAGATGTCTTTAGGAAAGTATGGGAATTGAAAGAATGGAGTCTACTTTTGAAATTTGTGAAAGGAAGGAGAAACCTTACCGTATAGTGGGTGCTGGAGCAAGACCTGGATTTGGACTCTGCCTCTGCCACTTCTATGTGATGCCCAGTCAACTATCTATGCTAAACTGTCCAAGGAAGCCTCTTTCCTCACCCATAAAATGGAATTATTCCCCTCGCAGTGTTGTGAGGATTAAATTAGATTACTGTATATTAAGTATTTAGAAAACCGCAGGTACTCCATAAAATGGGATTACTCGTGTTGACGGGTGGGTCTGTTTCTAAAGATGAGAAAGTTTATGTAAAGGTTGAGAAGCTACAGCTAAAAGCTTGAAAGTGAAAAAGGACTATCAGGAAAAAGGGGTGGCCTTTCGTTTCACAGCTAGGGAAGCCCGCTATGTCTAGTGCTCCTAAAGCCAGAGGCAGGAAAAGAGACACCCCCCAAATTTCCATCCGGAGGAGCTTAGAAACCACCTTAGAAAGTGGGTGCTAGGGCTGATTTTTGGCGCTAAAGCGAAGTACCCTACAAAACACTGTAATTTGGAAAAGGCCCGTGGGGACTATGGTACGCTCAGGCTCCCACAAACCGTCTTTTATAAGCCTCCCTTGTGGCAGCGACCCACCCAGGGCTCCGCTGCGCCTCCCTCACCGCACGTGTGCGTGACGGGGGAGCGATTTCCTGTGCACGCGGCAGGGCGCGGGGCCTCGGTTCGCCCGCCTCCCCTCCCCACCACCCGACACAAAGCTGGCGGGTCCCCTGCGCACGCTCGGGAGCCCACGGCCCCAGGCGCCTCCTGGCAACCAGACGCTGAGGGAGCGTGGAGGCCTCAATGGATCAGCCAATCATAGCCATCACCTCCAATTCTCTAAGGGAAAACATGGCACCTGGCAGTTTGGGAGTCACCTCCACGGTACAGACGGACTTCCCGCGGCGCCGACTACCGACTGCCATACCCCCCATCCCCCCCGCCCCGCCCTCGGCTCCGGTGGCCGAACTCTCTCGTCTTCCTAACGCTGGGCCTTTGCGCCCCTTGGTTTGCTTCGCACCTCTCCCTGCCTTCCTCTACCTACCCAGCAGTCCAGTGGTCCTGATCTTTATCAGAGTGTACTTGGTTTTATTTCCTCTCCCCTTGCTCTCCTCATCCTTCCATTCACCCTTTATTTTCTGTATTTACTTCTTCCATACTACCAACTGCGCAGGACAACTGCTTTCATTTCCCCCTCTGCCCAGAGGATGGGTTTTAACGTAGCCGAACGCACACGTTTGTGCCCTGTCTGGTATTTGAGTATTTATAAAATACCTTAAACTACCTTCGCTTAGTTTTTAAATATGTTTGGGCAAGAGATGTTTAGCCTATCTTTTGGAAAGTGCTTCAGCCCTAAAATGAATTTGCAGTGATGAGTGGGTGGAGTTTAGATGGCTTGCCTTGGGCAAAACAAAACAGCCCCTGCCAATTACCTTCCTTTAGAAGTACTGTTTACTTCTCCCTTCTTCCCACTTCATTTTCCTGGTCCCCGGTAGAGGTGGGAGACTAGTCTTGACCTGCCTGAGAAAGTTTGATTTCTGTGACTGTAAATGTGCAACAGAGAAGATTCAACATAAATCTAATAAAGGGAACATATAGGAAAAAATTCAGACTTAGCACTGTGTATGAAACAGTGGGTTTTGTTTTGTTTTGTTTTTTAGAGAAATGCACATTGCATAGTAAAACTAAAGCCCAGAGGTACTCATAAGTAGAGTGGGTATAAGTTGCCAAAAAGGAAGAATGAATTATATCAGTTTTACTGATTATTATTTCTAATGCATTGCTGCTCAAAATAACAGATTTTATAGTACTAACAAAAGCATTATAAATGGAAGTACAATTCATTGTTTTAATGACTTTACATAGTGAAAGTAGTACAAAAGGAAAAAACTATACAACTGTGTTCTGTTGGTGGTGAAGCTGAAACAAATGTGGAATAATAATAAATAGGTATAAGGTACCTAAGGTGGAAACCAAGAGCGTCCTTGGAAACTAAGCAATACCAAAATCATCTGCTTTTTAACTGGGCAGGTGAGGTGCTAAAAATAAAGGGAACCATTTATTGAGCACCGGGTTTGGGTCCAAGTCTTTAAATGTATAATGATTTATTCTCGTGCCAACCTTCTTATGCCTTATTTTTATACTCCTAAGAGGGAGTTGAGGCTTGTAAGGGTTAAGTAACTTACCTAGTTCTCCTAATTAGTAAGTGACAGAGCTCGATTTCAAGCCCAAGGTGATCTGGCTCCTCTGTCATTCTGCCTCTTTGGTGTCACATCTGGCTGGACAAGCTGAGAGAACTAGCTGTATCATATTTGTATTATACATGTTTGATAGTGTGTATAAAAACAGGAAAGGGCAGTTTTCAACATTTGCCATATCACTGGGAATTTGTATACCAATATCACATTAATTTGATGACTATGCACTCTCACCTTGAACTTCCAGCCCAATCACCTTAACTGTAAATCTATTATGATACAATTTTGGTCAATTACATGACTCTTTCCTTCCTAAGAACACTAAATGTTTTTGTCACATCTAATTTTCCTTATGACATGTCTTTTGAGATGAGGCTGTTTATTACTTTCATTTTTCCAAAGGGAATTTAAATAGGAACTTAGAATCACTTCAAGTCATAAAATAGCAATTTAAGGAAATGTGACAGGCAAAATTTATCATTATGTAGTTTTATTTTAATTCAGGCTGACCAATTTGACACAGGTATTGATTTCTTCAAGCAAATATTTTATAAAATATATTTATAATTAACTTCTATGGATCACCTCTCAAATGAGTAAGCACATTTTATGTTTGTTAATAGAAACCAGTGCGAAAGACATCATCTGTTGAAAGAGAAGGATGGTGGAGAATAGCATTAACAGTATGTGTGTTTTTATTCTTTGTATTCATATTTCCATTGATATTTTAATCAGCCTTAAATTTTAAGTCACTAACAATTGTAAGAAAACAGTGGACCTTATTTCCTATTTATAATTTTATTTATTTATTTAAATTTTTAAAAAGATTTTATTTATTTGTTTGACAGGGAGAGAGACAGTGAGAGAGGGAACACAAGCTGGGGGAGCGGGAAAGGGAGAAGCAGTCTTCCCACTGAGCAGGGAACTCGATCGGGGACTCGATCCCAGGACCTCATGACCTGAACCCAAGGCAGTTGCTTAATGACTGACCCACCCAGACACCCCCCTATTTATAATTTTTAGTACGAGCATCTGACTGAGAAACTAACTTTAAAATTTGGACGCAGGACAAAATACAACAACTCCAGGAATCTAGGTCTTTTACAGGGTATCTAGATAAGATCAATCTAGTTTATGACCTTGGTGAGCTTACACAAGAAAACGCCTCCATTCTATAAAAGGGGTTTGAGTTTCAGTTTTTATCTTAGGTGGTATGGAGTTTGTGATAAGTTCTGTTAAGATGGTCAACTTAGGAAGGCAAGGTGGTAATAGATGAAGAAAAACCAGAGGATCCCCTGTTCAAGAGATAGCATTTCTATATTGTAGAAGTATTTCCCGTCCAGACCCTTCATAAGAGAGGGGCCCATGGGCCAAAACTTTTTTGAAATGGAACTGATTTTAATGGTAGAACCAAGCCAGGTGCTAAGTGGAAATGTGGCCACAAAAGCAGCAGGGACTAAACTTGTAGTTCCGGCCATGCAGCCACACTGCGGCTGTGCTGTGAAAGTACCAAACCTCCTATTGGGCTGATGAAACCATGTGTTCTGCCAGCGCCTCCTCAGTCTCATGTTCTTATTTTTCAGCTTTTCATTTGAGGGCTAGAGAGAAACTTGTAGCACCCACCCAGCAGAAGTAGGCTAACTTTTTTTTTTAGTCAAGAAACTATCCTGAGTGGTCTCAAGAGAGACCTGATATTTATAGCCCAACTGCGTATCAAGGTTTCGTATCTCTGAAGTTACTTTTTAAAAAGTTAATAACTTCCAACTATGGCCGCAACCCATTTGCTATCATTCAGCAACTGTCTCAGAAAGGAAAGGATCATGATTCTCTTGAAATAGGGTTCTGTCAGGAGTGTTTACTATATTTGACAAAATTTTATTAAACCTTAAAACAGCAAGTAATGCTTCTTGAGAGTGACCCTTCAAAGAATGGTGTTTTAGGAGCTGTTACCAGTTTGCACACTGATCTGAAAAATGATGTCAATTTTCCACAGAATACTCCTATCCCTGGCACTTACCACTTGAAAACTTTCATTGAAGAATCCCTATTAAATCCAGTGATAGCAACCTACAATTTTAAAAACGAAGGAAGGAAAAGACCGCCTCTTGTGCAAAGAAACAATCTGGTACTAAATGACCTTCCCCTGTACGCACCTCCTGACTTCTTGGACTTGTTAAAGAAGCAACTGGCCTCGTACTCATTTAAAGACAAACCGCGGTCAAGTGCCAGCACGCCGGTTTACAAAGATCAGGTAAGGTGCTCCTAGCAGCTGGGTTCTTGTGGGAAAGCTACCAATAGCCCCTGAGGAGAATATCCTATGTCCTTTGAGTGCCTCTTCCCCAGGAGAAATTGAAAACCTATAGGATGCCTTATTGCCTACAGAAATCAAACAAGGGCTGTCTGATTTGCAAGTAGTCGCGTCCAGCAGGATTTTCCCCTGTGAGGCCTCCTTAACCTGAGAATACATGGGAAAAACTGTTCCCTCTCCAGGCACTCTTGGAGGGATTCCCCTGACTTGGGGGAGCTTCTGGAAACTTATCTGTGCTTGGGCCATACTTCTGTTTCCTCAGGCAGTTCATACAGTGTACCCTGTTCTTCCAAAGAGAAAATGTTTCCAGTAAGTAGTGCCCTTTAATTAGAGTGTGAATATAACCAGATACCATAGGGAAAGCTTTTTAAAAATGTCTTGTAGAAGTGAGCCCTGCGGTACCAGGAAGGTCACATTCTACGCTCTGCTCTGCCAGTTCATTCATAACACTGGAAATAAGAGCACCGCTGTGCTTCCAGTCCCGGGCTAGGTTCCGTGCAGGGAAGATATTCCTGACTGGGGAGTATTTGAGTAAGAATACAAGAACAAATATATCAAGTGCTAAGATAAATAGCGTGGCAGGAAATGCCAGGGGTATTCAGTGTAGGCTGAGTTGAAAAGCTGGAAGGCTCCCAGGATTAAGTAGGACCCAAGCCGGACCTTGAATAATACATGACATTTATGTGGCTCTTAATAGCTTACTGTGAGTTTCCCCACGTATTCTCATAGTTGTTCTTCCCCAGCATTCTGAAATAGGCAGAATAGATGTTACCCCCATTTTTTATGTGAAAACCATGGTGAGTAGATACCAAGTCACTTGTTCAGAGGCACGTAGACAGGTAGGTAAGGCAGTACTTTTAACTGACGGTTTCTGAGCCCAATTTGGTGCCTTGTCCAGAGCGCCTCTGGCTATGAACGAGTGGCAGAGTTCGGGGTATATAAAGGGAGGTGTTCAAGGGAGGGGCATAACACTGTGGAAGGCTGGCAGAGAGAGACTTGTGACTTGGCCTTTGGGACTGGGGACTTGAGGCCTCCCATTTATTAAAGATTTCATTTATTTATTTGAGAGAGAGAGAGAGAGTAAGAAAACATGAGTAGGGGAGGCTCAGAGGGAGAAGCAGAATGCCCACTGAGCAGGGAGCCCCATGCAGGGCTCGAACCCCAGGACTCTGGGATCATGACCTGAGCCAAGAGCAGATGCTTAACAGACAGCGCCACCCACAAGGCCCAGGCCTCCCATTTATAAAGAAGCTAGTAATAGTATCAACCCCTACAACTTTATCAGAATATTGTGATAACCTGAGAAGAAATGCATTGCCACCGGAGGTTGAATTATATGCAAGGGCTGTGGTTGTGAAGATGGACAAGACATTTTCAGCAGGATGAGCCTGTCATAGCCAACACGGAAACCCTTCCTACTGTTTTGCAAATTATGGCTTTGAAACAGGGCAGAGTGATAAATGTTCATTGGGTAAATCTTATCCTGTTTGCTTCAGTGGATGAATACAAACACTAAATTATGCTGACTTTTATGGCTCAGTATCGGGTAACCATGCTACATGTGAAATCATTCTGGCCACCCCAGGGCAGGATCCTCCTTCCTCATTCTGCGCCACTGTTTACTGCCCTTCTGTTTCCTCTCTTCTTGCTTTTACGGGTTATTGAGGGTAGGTCAAGGCCCACTGATGAAAGGAGAAAACATAGAAGGTTGGTATTAGGCAAAATCTAAAGCTTTAAAAGACCGTAAGAATTTGGCTTACCCAGAGGGGTAGATAAAACCTGAAAACAAACTCTTTCTGTTTCTTTCTTTCTCCTCTCTCTCCCTACCTCCCCCAAAGGATTGTGCTATAGAAAATGGAAGAATTAAATGTTTTCCTAATTTGCTGTTTTCAAAGGATCTACGATAATGTTCTCAGGAGGAGAGACATTCAGATGTGGCATTGTTTACTCACCAATAAAATTCACAATTCTGTTTTTTTTTTAATGCAGAGCTCAGTAAAATAATAATTTGAATCTGAAGTAGATAGGGTAGACGTTGTTATTTATTAATATGGAACTATATTCTCCAGCTTCACAATTTTTAATAGAACATTCACTTTATACCCCCATTAGTGCTGCTTTTTTATTTGTAAATTTTTTGCTATTTTCAACACCTTTATTCTGATGCATGTAACTCACTGGAGCATCTGTATCAAAGACTCAGATCAGATGTGGATGTGTGTGTGTGTGTGTGTGCGCGCGCACGCATGCGTGTATACTCATCTATGTCTGGCTCTTTGCAAAGACTATTTGAGATGGCCCTACGAGTTTTACAATAATTCTTTCTGTATTTATGTTGGAGGAGTAATAGGTTTTTATTGTAGGACATACGTGCAGATGTGGGGCTGTGTCTCTCCCTGTCTATAGTGTTATAAGCTTCTCTTGGCCTTGTTGCCATCCTCCAGCGGCCCCTGGGTTCCTCCCAATCGTTTCTGGATGATTTCAGCTCCTTCGTGCCCCCACTCTCTCCAAAGCGCCTGTCATGATTTTAATACACCCGTGCGTGATCTTGCAACAAACTGGCTTTTCAGTTTCTTGAATTCTCCTCTGCCTCAGCCACTGGGTCTTTAGAGTTGTTTTGTTTGATCGAATGGGTTTCTTGGCTTTGTTGTTTTTTTGTTTTTTACACTCCTTAGAGTTTCTCAAGACCAATCATTTTAACCCTCCACAGTCTCAACTGCAGGCAACCCATTCTTCTCACCATCTCCTAATCTTCTGTTTCGCTCAGCCTAGCACCTTAACCACCCCCCCCCCAATTTTTCTGTCCTCCCCATCCCTAATCCATGGATCTGACCTCCTTTTTCAGTGCCTCTGACTTTCTGATGTTTTCCTTCCTCGCGGAGCTTCAGGTCCTGGTCACTTTAGAGTTTCCCCCTGCACATGTCCGCAGTCCCTGCCCAAGGGGCTCATCTTACCTGTCTAGCAAGCCTGTCACACTGGTTAAGTCCAAGTCTCTAGGAACTTGGTCCCTGGATCCATGTTGCTGAATGACTGGCCTCATTTTAAATTCTTCACCTTTCCTGCCACTGAATGGACTTCCCTGGTGTTTTCTCTGACACTCTTTCAGGTGGCTTTATCTCACATCTCCCCTCTTTCCAAAACCCCAAGTCCTCATCCTCAGCCCTCCCTCTTCTCTCTTCTCACCTCCTTCAGCCCCTTCTCCCTGACTTCTTCATGTAGGAGCACCCCTGACCCTCTTCCCCTTCTACACTCACTCCCTTGGTGATTTCATTCAGCCCCAAGGCTTTGGACACCATCTAATTGTTGGAGATTTCCAAATTTATATCTCCTTCCCAGACTTCTCTCTTGAGCTCCAGACTTGTGTATCCAACTGCTTTCTTGACCTCTGCACTTGTATGTCTAAGTCAGGGTTTCTCAACTTTGGCACTCTTGACATTTTTGGATGGTATAATTCTTTGTCATGGGGGCTGTTCTGAACTTTGTAGGATGTTCAGCAGCATTCCTGGATAATTAGATGCCATAAGCTAAGTAGATGCCATTAGCAGTCCCCCCTACAGTTGTAACAACCCAAGCTGTCTCCAGACATTGCCAAATGTTCCGTGGGAGTGAGAAGGGGGTAATAAAACCAGCCAACCAATCAACTAACCAACAAACCCATCTCCTTCCTGATTGAGAACCTTTGTGACAATGGGTGTGACCTCTGAGTGGCTGTTCTCAGGGTCAGCAGGTTTATTGGGACCTGGCTTCATCTCCCTCTCTTCCTGCCCCTGGTCTCCTGGCTGCTTCTTGAGCTTGCCACTGCACCTGTCTTTGCATTGGATCTTCCTTCTTCTGGAATGCTCTTATTCCATCTATCTGCATGGCTCACTCCATCTCCTTCTTCAGGTCTTTCTTCAAGTGTCACCTTCTCAATAAGCCCCATTTAATTCACCATCTGACACTCCTGACCTTAGGAGGGAATCCTGCCCTTCTTATTTTTTCTTTTGCACCTGTAGCCATCAATACACTATAATTTACTTGTACTTTGCATTTATTATTTGTTGTCTGCTTTTCCCCATGAGCTTCATAAGGACATGAATATTTATCTTTTTTACTCACTGTTACATCTTTGCCTTTAGAACAGTGTCTGATGATTAATATGCATTGAATGTGGAATGAATGAACGATTATCCAGCTCTTTGATATCTGTCTGGGTCTTACACTATTTGTTTCTTTGGATGTGTGATTTTCTTTGACCCTGTGTACATTGTTCACAATTCCTCAAAACTGATTTTCATGAACCCTAAGACCTAAATGAAAGTGTTTTCCTTCAGGGAAGGCTTGCTTTTGGTTCTGCTTTACGGGGTAGCTACCAATCTGGGGCCACTTGAAATACACTGCTCATGTATTCTTGGGTCACTCCAGTGATGGCACTTTGTGCAAGGGACCAGCCCATAGTTACAGTCTCTCAATAGTGGATTTCTTCCCCCTTTTCCAATTCTGCTTAGCACCAAGGCAACTCTGTGTACAGACTCTTAGCATTGGGTGATACGGGAGGGCTTACTTTCAGAAAGTGCTCTTCTAGGGTCTCTAATTCCTGTGGGTAGGACCCCTATTAGATCACCATCACTGATGGGCCTAAGCTTTGGCCTCTGGAGCCTCGTAAGAAAATGCAGCTCTGTTCTTCTGCTGAGTTTAGTCTGAACCGGCAAACATCCTCTGGGCAAAACTTGGCCACTTAACCTCTCTGGCTTCTTGTTATGTCTTGCTTTGGGGTTCTTAAATTTCCTTATTATCTGCTTAGCAATTTCTTGTCATTTTAAAAACTCTTGCTTATTTGCTTTTAATATTTTATTCCTCATTTCTAGTAGTTGTCTGCAGTGAGAAAGCTCATCATCCAAATAACCTAGCTCACCACTAATAGAAACCAGACCTTTTTTTCCACTTAGAAATATACTGTGAATCTTTTCCACACCCTTATGTGTTCTCTACATCATCTCAAATAGCTGCATAGTATCCTACTAGATGGACATATCCTGATGTATTCAGCATTTTCTGCTGTTAGTCACAGAGTGGAGTTGTTGGGGAAAGGAATGCAGCTGTCTAAGTCTTTAGAGATGCATTGCCAAATGCTTTTACAGAAAAATTGTGCCATCCTGCATCTCTCTCTTGCAGAATATAATAAATCTGGTACCATTTTACATCCACTGTTTATGTTTTCAACTAAAAACATGGATCAAATGACTGAAATGGGAAATGTTAAAGTATAAACTTGAAATCAGTGTGCTGGGGAGCTCCTGAACAACCCGAAGCCCACTACGTCTGTTCCAGTCCCCTGACCATGCACAGGAAAGGGAGAAGATAGTGACGCTGCCCCTGTCTATAGCCAGTGAGTCAGTGACCATGTGGCTTCCACACTTTTGCACCGAAGGGTAAAAATGAGTCATGTTCTTTTTTTTTTTTTTTTTAATTTTAGATAGTTAACATACAGTGCAATATTGTTTCCTGGAATAGAGTCACGTTCTCTTATAATCCAATTGAAATAGATAGTCTAGTTTAAAAATGAAGAAACAATATGAACTGGCAATTCACAAAGAGACATACCAGTTCCTTAAAAAAAAAAAAAAAAGGCACAAAGTGATGCTTGGCTTCAGCTAATAATTAAATAATTGCAAAGGAACAAAAGCAGCTAGACACTTTTTTTTTTTTTTTTTTTTTTTGCCTGTCAGATGATCAACAGTTTAAGTTTGATGATACCCATTATTGGCAAAAGGGGTACGGAAACATATTCTCACACACTGTTTGTATAATACAAATTGTTGCGAGTATTTTGGAAGATAATTTGGTAATTCCTAGCAGCTTTAAAGGCATATAGTAAGGGATGCCTGGGTGGTTCCATTGGTTAAGTGTCTGCCTTCAGCTCGGGTCATGATCCCAGGGTACTGGAATCAAGTCCTGCATCAAGCTCTTTGCTCAGTGGGGAGCCTGCTTCTCCCTCTGCCTGCTGCTCTCACTGCTTGTGTTCCGTCTCCCTCTCTCTCTGACATATAAATAAATAAAATCTCTTTAAAAATGCATATAGTGGGGCGCCTGGGTGGCTCAGTGGCTTAAGCCTCTGCCTTCGGCTCAGGTCATGATCTCAGGGTCTTGGGGTCAAGCCCCGAATTGGGCTCTCTGCTTGGTGGGAAGCCTGCTTCCCCCTCTCTCTGCCTGCCTCTCTGCCTACCTGTGATCTCTCTCTCTGTGTCAAATAAATAAAATCTTAAAAAAAATTTTAAAAAAATAAAAATAGTGAGGTGAATCTATGTATTGATATGGAAGCATCTCCAAGATACATATTAATAAAATACTCAAGCAACAAACCAATATTTATAGCGTAATTCCGTTTGTATGAATGAAAACAGATATACCTATATATGATATTAAATGCTTCCTTTCTTGAGAGTTATTTAAGCAATCATTAACAGTGGTTTCCATTTGGGAAGTAAGGGTTACATAGGGCACAAGGAGACTTACCATTATTTTGTTCTTTCTGTAGACTTTGATTGTATGCAAGTAATATTCTTTCCAATCATGCTCATTTGTAAAGAAATCAAAATTTTTTCCAACATGTTTTCTATTTTATCTCATTACATTTTCCATTTAAAAACTTCTCTTATTTACTTCCTAGGTTGGGAGCATTTCCATGAAAATCAAAAACAAAATTTTTAAATTGCCTCAAACTTCTGTCCAGGCTTTTGCCTTGGAAGATGAAGCTCACATAAAAGGAAACAAATTCGGCGATTCCACCTCTCCCAACTCTCAGGTCAAAGGGGGATTGTTAGGCTGGAAAAGCACCCCTATGAACTTAGAAAATGAGCCAAAGAGGAGGAAATGAGCCAAAGGGTCCATTTTATTTTTGAATTTTGTATTATTTAAAAAAAATTATTTAAATTGTATTATTTAAAAAAAATTTATTCATTTGAGAGAGACGGAGTGAACAAGGGCACAGCAGTGGGGAGGGTCAGAGGGTGAAAGAGAGGGAGAAACAGATCCCCACTGAGCAGGATGCCCAACACAGGGCTTAATCCCAGGACTCTGGGATCATGACCTGAGCTGAAGGCAGACCCTTAACTGACTGAGCCACCCAGGTGTCCCTATTTTATTTTAAAAATTTTTTAAAGATTTTATTCATTTAATTGACAGACAGAGATCACAGGTAGGCAGAGAGGCAGGCAGAGAGAGAGAGGGGGGAAGCAGGCTCTATGCTGAGCAGAGAGCCCGATGCGGGGCTCGATCCCAGGACCCTGGGATCATGACCTGAGCCGAAGGCAGAGGTTTTAACCCACTGAGCCACCCAGGCACCCTTATTTTAATTTTTTAAAAGATTTATTTATTTTTATTTTAGAGAGAGAGAGAGAGAGAATGGGGGTGGGGAGGTAGAGAATCCCACGCAGACTCTCTGCTGAGCAAAGAGCTCGATGTAGGGCTTGATCTCGCAGCCCTGGGATCATGATCTGAGCTGAAATCAAGAGTCAGATGCTCAATCCTCCCAGCGCCCCCAAAGGATCCATTTTAATGTGTTCAAAAGACATCCTTGAACAGCCAGTTAGGAGACTGATGTTGAGAAAATCTGGCGGATTCATTGATCGTTGTTAGCTGTGTTTATAGCTGTGAAGATGATGTCTTTGAAGACACGTTAATTTGAAAAGCATTGCATGGTAAAAATAATGGCTGGTGGAATTTTCAACAGAATGGTTTTGCATTGACAAAATACCCATGGAGAGAAACCTTGTGCCCAAAGAGGGGCTGACAAATAATATTATAGGAAACTGGAGACTTAAATGTTAGGATAATGAAATGCAAAATGTAGATGGAACAATTCATTGTGTATTTTTAAAAAGATTTATTTATCTGTTTTAGAGGAAGAGTGTGAGTGTGCCAGCAGGGGGAGGGGTAGAGGGAGAAATAATCTCAAGCTGACTCCTCACTGAGCGTGGAGCCTGTGGTTGGACTCCTCCTTAGGACCCTGAGATAGTGACCTGAACTGAAATGCTATGACCCCAAAGGAAGCGCTGGCTTAAAATACATTCCTGCGCTCCCATGGTATGATGAAACAAACAAACAAACTCACGTTTCCTTGGTGTTTATTATTTCCAGTGAACAATTAACAAGGCACAGGTGCATCAGGACAACGTATGTATTTCATCATAAAATCTGTATTTACTGATATTATCACTGTAGCCACGAAAAGCTGCTCCTGCAAGCAAAACGGTATTAATATGTGAAAGACAGCTGTGGGGCAAAATATAACAGCTGAACTTCCTTGTGGCAGATAATGCCAGGGTATGGATGCCTCATTTTCAGCAGAGGCAGCCTTGTATTTCTAAACCTGGTTTTAAAATAATAGGGGTGGGGGAGATTGTTCACTTCCAGGGAGGCTTCTTTCCAGGATTTTGTAACACAAGTCCTCCTTGCCATCTCCTTCAACCTAGGTATTTCTGGAGATTGGGTCAGTTTTCTTTCCCCTGGATCCTAGTTCTCCTTCCCTCTCTTCCTCCTCTCTGTCACACATCCCAGTCTCTGTGCATACCAGTTCCTGACATTCCCTTCAGTCACATACTCCTGGGTTAATACCTGTAGATCCAGAGACAATGGAGCTTCCCAGGTACTTTGCAACAAGCTTGGCAATGGGCAGACAGTCTCTTTTGCAACATTCCTCCTTAAAGTGTCCTCCATGGCCGCCTCGAGGAAGTCTTGCCTTTCCTGAAACCCCAATCAAATTTCAGTCTTTGCCATCTTTAAACCACTTGGGTGGATTTATTTATTTAATTATTTCCCCCACATCCCTGGCTTTATTGAGGTATGATCATTAGATCCCACATATGAGTGATACAAAACAGTATCTGTCTTTCTCTGCCTTATTGCACTTCGCACAATGTGCTCCAGTTTCAACCCTGTTGTTGCAAATGGCAGGATTTCTTTTTTCACAGTTGAGTAATATTCCTTTGATACACACACAAGTAGGCTCATAAGTAGGATCACACACTCACATATAGCATTTTGATCAGACGCATATATTCATCACCCACTCCTCCATCAGTGGACACTTAGGTTGTTATTTCTTTTTCTTGCCTAATTATTCTGGTTAGGGCTTCCAATACTATGTTGAATAGGAATGGAAAAAGTGAACACCCTTGTCCTGCTCCTGACTTTAGAGGAAAATCTTTTAGTTTTTCACCACTGAGTATATGAGATTAGGTGTGGGTCATTAGTTGGTTTTAATCTCTCCCCACTCCCAAGTCTCCAATTTGTCTTTTATCATTTTATTTATAGAATTTTATATTAGAATTGTTTACATAGGGGCGCCTGGGTGGCTCAGTCAGTTAAGTGGCTGCCTTTGGTTCAGGTCATGATCCCAGGGCCCAGGGATCAAGCCCCACATTGGGCTCCCTGCTTAGTGGAGAGCCTGCTTCTCCCTCTCCCTCTGTCTGCCACTCTGCCTACTTAAGCTCTCTCTTTATTGCTCTGTCAAATAAATAAATAAAATCTTAAAAAAAAATTGTTATGTATGTGCTTTCCCAACTCCTACTGGCCAGGAGCCATATCTCTCTTACCCTTATATTCCCCACCACACCTAGCAGTGCTTTACCCACATAGCAGGCTCACCAAATGGTTGTTGAATGGATTTGTTAGGTCTAGTACATTTAAAATATGATCAATTGTACAGAATTCTTCTATGCACCCTCTCAGGCACACTATCATAAAGTTTACCATGAAAAGGGATTATTTGTTGAATGTTTTCAGGTTTCATCTTTGAAAATGAACTTTTTCCACTATTAAGACTGAGAATAAATGACATAACACTGTATGGTCATAAAATAAAGGATTACAAATGACAGGTAATAAGATAAAGTGAGCTTAAGACCTGTATTAATCTATTTTTGGTGTCCTCGTCCATTCTCTGCAGTCAGTTAAGCTCTCACCAGGGCAATATGATCTACTTCCTGCACCGGTTCCCAAGCAAGCTTCCAGGTAACTATACACCTATTAAGTCGCTTTTAATAATTTCACTCGTGCCTTTTTATTTACATACTTAACCAATACTAATGGCTTTTAAATTTTATTTATGCCCATCATCTCTAGATTAGCATTTTCAAATATTTAGTGAGAGACAGGAAATAAATCAACAATGTTCCCATATTAAAAAATAGATTTAGAACATCTTTTTTTTTTTTTTTTTAAATAGGAGCTTCGTATTTCGTTCTACAGTTCAAAGATTTCCAACAGGCTGCTTCACTCCTGTAAGTATATTGTAGACAATTAAAACATGATGAATTTGATGTTTAAAATATGCAGTGGTTCATTTTGACATATCAAGATTAACGTTTTGATCACTGTAGTAGATAAGCAATGAATGATTAATGTAATTGATTTAAGATATACTTAAAGTATATCTGAAGATATACCAGGGATTTCAAAGTAAGTAACCCATTTGTGTCAAGGTATAGAAGAAAAGTAAAAGCTCTTTCCCTTTCTGTAGGTCTTGACTCATATCCCATTCTCAGTGAAGTCACCAACAGTCACCTGTTCAGAATTTCCTGTTCCCCCTTCCTTGGTTTATTTTTCTCCATCTTGTTCATCACTATATGATACACTACTCTCAGACATTAATCTATCCTGTTTTATCTGTCTCCCCCCACAATGTAAGCTTCATGTAGGAGGAGACTTTTGTCTGTTTTTGTCCTGTATACATAACACCTAGAAAAATGGCTGGCACATGGTAGTTATTCATTTAATTAATTAGTAAAATCATCAGAGATGTTAGATAGATCCTTGTATTTACAACAAAAAGGAAAAGTATCTCTGGTTTCTTTAAAAAATGTGAAAATGCCTTCCTGTTTCTACAAATTTTCAAATATATGGCCATGTGTTTTGGTAAATATGTATACCCTTAGATAATTAACTAACTAGTATAATGCCAAAAAATAAATAATTATATACATATTTTGAAGGATTAAGGCAATATGAAATTACTTTGGGATGGTTTGATGGCTTGAGTTACCTATTTGTAGCTAAAAACCCAGGGAGAGAAAGATATACGGTGAACATCTGAAAGAGGAATTTAGATAACAGAATTCAGAAACAGACCCTAGACTATCTAGGATTTTTGTATTTGATAAAGATGGTATGACAAATCAGTAAGGAAAGGAAGAGAATATTTTTTGCTGAGCAATTGGTTAAATAACTTAGAAATTAAGTTAGATTCTTCCTACCACATAATAAAGTAAATTTCATATTGATAAAAGAATTAAATGAAGCATAAAACCAGAAGAAAATATATTATCCTATGTCTAATTTTAGGATAAGGCAGATTTTCTGAGATCAGGGCAGTGGGTGAACTGCAAAGGAGAAGTATTTGATTTAACCACACAACATTTAACATTTCCTGTATATCAGAAGACAAACTGTAAACAAGGCTAATTCAGAACATTTATTTTCAACATACCCAGCAGATAAAGGACTAATGGCCTTATTTAAACTTCTCTTAACAATCTAGAGGAAAAACTTCAATAGAAAAGTAAAACAGATGACAGCCAGAAGTGGACTATTCATGTAACAAGAAGTTCAGATAGCCAACAAAGGTGAAAAAATTTTGATCCCACGATCAAATGTGAGAAACTGAAAGGCTGACTGAAAACTTTTTGTATGTGGGTGGTGTGCTGGGTTGAATAATGGCCCCAAAAATGTGGCCATGTCCTAATTTTTAGAACCTGTGAATGTTACTTTATGTGGCAGAGACCGCCCTGCTGACATGATTACATGAAGGATCCTGAGATGGGGAGATGGTTCTGGATTCTCCGGTGGGTCCTAGATGCACTCACAAGTGTCCTTATAAGAGGGAGGCAGGGGGAGGTTTGAGAAGGGGGAGAAGGCAGTGTGGTCACAGAGGCAGAGGTTGGAGTGATGCAACCACAAGCCAAGGAAGGTGGCCCTCCCTAGAAGCTGGGGGCACAGGACACTAATGCAGGTGGGGATTATGTCCAGTGGATTTCACAGTGGATTGATGGGAGGAGGACGTGGTTTTTCCTTTGGGTATCCCCTGGGCCTTTTCTTTTGCACATGTCAGTAGCTTCAAAATGACTCTTCGGCCTCTGGCTTGGGGTACAGGCCAGGGCTTGGCGTATAGGCCAGTTGCCGGTGTTTTGGAAGCTGAGTCGGGGAAGAGGCTAGGGGTCTCACCATTTGGTGTGTGGAGAAGTTAACTTAATTCCTGTTTTTGGTAAAGGCTCCTACCCTCAGAGTGCCTGGGGCTCCTGCATCCAGTTGACTGGTGCAGTTGGCCCAGAAATGCACCCCCTGCCCCACTTAGGATGCAGGAAGCGGGGGAGGTGGAGGGACCTGGAGAGAGGAGGTCTACCAGTTCTCCACCTTCCATTCCCACCTCACAGGGGCCTCATGCCTAAAATTCCTGACCTTCTCTTGGGTTCTGTGGAGCATATCAGCCTGTTCCCTTGGCAGTACAGCTGTCTCCACCGAGCCACATCAGGTCCCATTTTCCAGGGTGCTTCACGTCTTCGCCCAGTGTGTTCTCTCTGTCGGCCATTGTCTCTTCTCTTGGCTCTGTGTGTGTACAGAATGGGAGGTGGCTAGTTCTACTTTTCTTATTTGATGGGAGGAATGGAAATAGTTGGCTTTGGCAGCAAGCAGTCAAGACACCTGGATTTTTTGTCACTGGGTAATAACTCTGTCTCCCTTGAAATATAGGTTTTAAATGAATGCTGTGAGTTAATAATGATTTGTTTACTATGAGTAAGGATGGACTCAATCAAAAATAATTTGATTTTAGTTCAGGTTAGACATCCAGGACAAGCAGCCTGGAATGTGAAATAGCACAAGCCAGTTGATTCTGACAGTTTTTGCCTTTGTTCTCATTGCTTTAGTGGAGAGAAGATTTTTCAAGATCCTTATTCTGCCATTTTCACTGATGTTACCTCATCCATTCTACTTTATAAATAAAAGTGATTCACTGATTTAGAACATCCTGTCCTTCAACAAAGTGAAAAGAATACTTCCATGGAAAATATTCTAAGACAAAGAGAGAGCACAGGGCCGTGATTCATGTCTGTCCTAAACATGCATTCCCAGAGCAGAATGTGGGTTTGGTTTAGATCCACAAACTTGTAAACTATAGAAAGCAAACTCCTTTGATCCCAACAGTGGGAGATGGTGGTGAGCTGTGTGGGTATGGTCCCGAAATACTTCTTACCATTCTCAAACCTTTTCGAGATAAATGTAGTAATCTTTAGGCCATTATAATATGCCACCTAATTTTTTTTAATTTTCTTTTTTTTTTTATTAACATAGAACATATTATTTGCCTGAGGGGATAATATGCCCCTTAACTTTTATCCAGGTAATCTCATTGGATTGATTTTATCATTCAGTTTTGTTGTTCTAGAGATCAACATTATAATCCCAAAACTGTTAAGGACTCTTAGAATTGGAAGAAACTTTATCAATGAGCTACTCTTGACCCTTGAACAACACGGATTTGAACTGTGTGGACTGCATATATGTAGGTTTTCTTAAGTAAATACAGTAGAGTACTGAAAATGTATTTATTTTTTCTTTCTTGTGATCTTCTTAATATTTTCCCTATAGCTTACTTTATTGTAAGAATGTAGTATACAATCCATACAACATAGAAAATACATGCTAATCCACTATATGTGTTATGGGTAAGGCTTTCAGTCAACAGGTGGCTATTAGTAGTTAAGTTTTGGGGGAGTGAGAAGTTATACATGGATTTCCTACTCCTCAGGAGTTGGCGCCCCAACACCCACTCTGTGTAAGGGTCAACTGTATTCTATTAGCATCGGCTTTGATGATGAGGGCCACCATCCTTCATTGAGTGGTTTCTGGTGCAGGTGCATTTAATCTTCACGGCAACTTGGCAGGTTAATATTCCATCTCTCCTTCACAGGTCAGGAAATGGAAATTAGTTTACAGAGGTCACGGTTATCTAGGAAGTGGAGCCGTGACTTAGACCCCATCTCTGGTGACCTCAAAACCTGGGCTCTAAGCTGTGCTGCCTAGTGTGTGAACATGATCAAGTGACTTGCTTAGTGCCTTTGCACATTTAGAGCTGGTCTGGGGTCAAATCCAAGTGGCGGACATTGTGTTGTCTCTGGCATCACCATTCCTCACTGATGACTAAGGCTTGTTCATGGGCACAGGTTGGCCTGCTTGACCGTTTTTGCAGTAGGATGAGCTCATATGCAGGAGGTTTCTCCATCCTGGGAGGGCCATCTATCAGCCTGCCTGTTACGCTCTGATCATCTAAGATCCTTACAATGGATGGAGGAAGCTTAGGCTCCGGCTGGGAGCTTTGCTACACTGGCTTTTGTTAACTGGCCATATTTTTTCCCTGGGACACCTTTAGGATGTTAGAACTTCCAGTCCTTTCTCAGCAAAGTCTCTTTGTAAAAAGCTGGACTCAACTGAGTCTAGCTGACTTCATTAGAAGTTCTTTCATGTGCTCTAGACATCTCTTTTGGGTGGCTATATGTGCGGCCCTGTGCCAGGTAGCGAACTATTGAGTATTCAGTGACAAATGAGACATTTTATCAGTGCTCTCCCTTCCCTCTCGAAGGGCAAGGACACACTAAGGTCAATAACCCAAGCAAGGTGTCCCTACACAAGCACCCAGTAACTTACCCAGATGAAATGAGAGTCCGGGATTCACAATGCATGTGTCTGACTAGTGTGAGACCAAATGGCTTGGCACATACAACTTGAAATGTGGAACCCAAAATTAGACAGTGATGACTCAAGTTTAATATTATCTGTTGATAGAAGCACATGTACCTTCTTCCTTCGGAGAGCCATCTCCAGAACTTTCTGATACATTTACTGGTAAGCTTCTTAGCAAGGGCTGACTGAGGAAGGAGGTAAGGGCAGGAGTGAAAAAAGGGCTTCAGTGAGGAAAGGGACACCAATCCTTGTCCCTTCAGAGCCTGTATCCAAAGCCAAACTCAAAGAAACCAAAGGGCTAGTTGTCCTTTCAGGATTTGGATCCAAAGGCTTTTCCACAGTCATTTATTAGTTGATGGGGTAAGAAGGTAAATTTGTTTTTATACCTTCCCACCCACGGCAGCAATGCCTGAAACTCCTTGGTAGGGATTTGTTTTTAAGATTTTATTTTCAAAGAATCTCTAGACCCAGTGTGGGCCTTGAACTCACAACACCTGAAATCAAGAGCCACATACTCTATCAACTGAGCCAGCCAGGCACCCCCATA